TACTGTTCTCATCTCTATGCAGGGGTACCTCAGTACCAGTTTCGACCTCTGGACAATGGACAATGAAGAGCGACTCGAAACGTCGATAGCCCAAACATCTCCGATCGGCTCGATCAATTGGCGTTACGTAGAGATGTAGCTTCCCTCTGCATTCTCTATCGCATATATCATGGAGAGTGCTCCGAGGAATTGTTCGGATTAATACCAGCCGCAAATTTCCGCCATCGTTCCACACGGCAAAATTATCATCCTCATTACCTGGATAGTTGGCGCTCCACTACTGTGCGCTTTTCGAGACACTTTTTGCCCCGCACAACCAATCTGTGGAACGGGTTGTCGTCTGCGGTTTTTCCGGACCGATACAACCTTCAAAAAAAGAGCGTACTCCTCCTTAAAAGGCCGGCAACGCGTTTGTGACTCCTGAGTTGCAGACGTTCATAGGCGGCGATAGTCACTTTCCATGAGGTGACCCGTCTGCTCGTCTGACAAAAAAAAACAAAATGTCATCTAAATGGGTTCAACGTAGATTCCCCATACAAACTTTCACCCCCTTCTCATCCCCTTAAAATATGATGTTTGGGATAAAAACTCCTTTAAGGGGTCCTTTCAGTAGACTATTTAAGGCTGTTGAATGTATTAGACAACAGCAAAACATGTGGCAAGATGTAGAATAGTAAATCATTGAGCGAAAATTTTCCGCGCCGTAGCCCTCAGGGTTGCCCTCCTGAGTGGGACCAGTTTCCCTGTCTTGCACAATTTCGGAAAAAGGCCCTGCTCGAGGCATGCGCCGAAGAGCCTTATGAGTCGGAACTCGAGAGCACTTCATCTAGGGCTAGGAACCACGCTCGGCCTAGAATGCCATCTGGTCCGGGACAGTGTTCTGCCCAAGGTACCTTTAGGCAGGTCGTTGCCAACCACGTTAGGCACCTCAAGTGCATCCTATACCCTCAGTCGCTCGATGAGAAGCTATGAAAGAGTTGCTTAAGCCAAATTTTCTGATAGGTCGTGCTACCACTCCGGTAGAGTCGGCTCATCATTTGTTATATGTCTGGGTGTCATTTATCCATCATATGTATGTACTTAGAAATATTTAAGCAGCATTTTATCAGCAGTCTGGTTGCCGTAGCACAGGCCCTGCTTAGTTTGAGATCAGACTGCCGTGTGTGAGATGTGTCAGGTTATTATTAACAGGAGCTTTTAATTTAGTGACACCTTTTTACAACTTGTTTATTTAAAAAAAAAATACAGGGCCCCTAAAGAAAAAGAAGATGGTCCAGGCTCACAAGAAACTATTCATATTGTTACGGTTAGCGGTTTAAGCGTAAAGAAGTAACAGACAGACAGACACACTTTCGTATTTATAATATTAGTATGGATGGATCATTTTATACAAACATTTTTTTTTTATGAAAAAGATGAAGTAACAATGCATTATGGATACAGGCCAGTAATACGTCGAGGTCCTATAAGACAGCCTGGATCAGCTGAATAAAGTTCATTTTAAATAAATATTTATCTATTAAACAGTTTTTACCCGACTTTGCCATAACGAGGGTTAGGGTTCTTAAAAATAATCCTTAATTTTCCATACTTAAGAGTGTTTTTTTGTTTTAATTTGGACGAATCGACTAAATTCCGCAGCTACATTCGTCGTTCGTGTGCTCTCGTGTAACTTATGTTGTCGATCTTATTAGTGGAAATCCGTGTAAGACTTAAATCTAATTTGTTTGTCGATATTTATTACAGACACCGAGGAAAAAAGGAATCAACCTGGTCGCGATTATACTTCAGAAACCACTATTGAGACCACTGAGGAAGCTGAAGCAAAACGTACCGACTCAAAGACAAATGAAAAAATCGTCAAAAACACAGGTTACTATAAAACTTTCGTAAAAACAAAAAATATTAGTAGATGAACATAGACGGCTTGCCTGCCTGACGCCCACCTACCTTGGGATTGATAGTTGAAGGACGATAGGAAATTTGTATTTTTCATATTTTAATCGGCGTAAAAACTTTCATTGCACATTGGAAAACTACTACGTATTTCGGTTTGGAACTCACTACAGTCCTTTTCCTTCAAATCCTTGATTGATGCTGTCAACTGAATCCATTCATATTTTTATAATTCAGCTAGCCTTTCCTAGCTCTGTAGTACGCCAATGGTATATAAAATTGACTATGGGATAGCAATATCTACACTGTAGAATATATATAAATATAGTATCCATCCATCGTTCCACACGGCAAAATTATCATCCTCATTACCTGGATAGTTGGCGCTCCACTACTGTGCGCTTTTCGAGACACTTTTTGCCCCGCACAACCAATCTGTGGAACGGGTTGTCGTCTGCGGTTTTTCCGGACCGATACAACCTTCAAAAAAAGAGCGTACTCCTACTTAAAAGGCCGGCAACGCGTTTGTGACTCCTGAGTTGCAGACGTTCATGGGCGGCGAAAGTCTCTTTCCATGAGGTGACCCATCTGCTCGTCTGACAAAAAAAAAAACAAAATGTCATCTAAATGGGTTCAACGAAGATTCCCTATAAAAACTTCCACCCCCTTCTCATCCCCTTCAAATATGATGTTTGGGATAAAAACTCCTTTAAGGGGTCCTTTCAGTAGACTATTTAAGGCTGTTGAATGTATTAGACAACAGCAAAACATGTGGCAAGATGTAGAATAGTAAATCATTGAGCGAAAATTTTCCGCGCCGTAGCCCTCAGGGTTGCCCTCCTGAGTGGGACCAGTTTCCCTGTCTTGCACAATTTCGGAAACAGGCCCTGCTCGAGGCATGCACCGAAGAGCCTTATGAGTCGGAACTCGAGAGCACTTCATCTAGGGCTAGGAACCACGCTCGGCCTAGAATGCCATCTGGTCCGGGACGGTGTTCTGCCCAAGGTACCTTCAGGCAGGTCGTTGCCAACCACGTTAGGCACCTCAAGTGCATCCTATACCCTCAGTCGCTCGATGAGAAGCTATGAAAGAGTTGCTTAACCCAAATTATCTGATAGGTCGTGCTACCACTCCGGTAGAGTCGGCTCATCATTTGTTATATGTCTGGGTGTCATTTATCCATCATATGTATGTACTTAGAAATATTTAAGCAGCATTTTATCAGCAGTCTGGTTGCCGTAGCACAGGCCCTGCTTAGTTTGAGATCAGACTGCCGTGTGTGAGATGTGTCAGGTTATTATTAACAGGAGCATTTAATTTAGTGACACCTTTTTACAACTTGTTTATTTAAAAAAAAAATACAGGGCCCCTAAAGAAAAAGAAGATGGTCCAGGCTCACAAGAAACTATTCATATTGTTACGGTTAGCGGTTTAAGCGTAAAGAAGTAACAGACAGACAGACACACTTTCGTATTTATAAAAATAGGTCTTTACCTATGAAATTGCCGTTGTGTATGCAATAAGTGAAAGTACTTATTTTTTCAAACTTTTTTATTTCTGTTATTCGAAGTAATCACCCATGCAATCGACGCATTTTTTCCAACGCATTGGCAGTTTATTGATGCCCTTCTTGTAAAAATCAGCTGGACAACAAACTCTTTAAAGGCATTTTGTACTGACTCTCGGGAATTGAATTTTTTACCCACTAAAAAGTTGTCTAAACTTTGGAAAAAGTAATAGTCGGTAGGTGCAAGGTCTGGTGGTCACATCTGCAACCAGCTTTGGTCGATCGGTCGTCCCCACTGCTCCTTCACGACAACGCGCGACCCCATACTGCGCAACTGACAGTCTCCAAGCTGCAAGAGCTGGGGTTGGAAGCTCTCCCTCATCCGCCATACTCACCAGACCTTGCACCTACCGACTATTACTGAGTCTGGGTGTTCTTTGTGTCCGTTTCATGTATGTTTAACTAACTGCGGGAACTTAAAAACTTACTGCGGGATTTGTCTTTAAAAAAAAACAAAACAAATATTCTTCCTGTGGTCCCCCGAGATTGAGCAGCAGGCGATTCAGCACACCTGCGACCGATCGCACTCGGGGAACTAATCGTCCGAAATTCTCTTCGAAGCTCCACCGACTAGCTAGTATAAGGCCCAGGAACTTCATGTACCGGCTCACATGGACTTCAGTGTCACCTAGCTGGAGGCGTGAGCTTGGTGGTTCCTGGCGCTTACGTAGGCCATAAAACTATATCGCCTTAGTTTTCTGCGTTGCCACCCTCTGGCCCGAAGAGCCGAAGCACCTCCTGCGAGACCCTATAGACTGGGGGAAGGACCGCGACCGCATCGTATGCGAGGTTCTACATCAAAAGGCCCTTAGCTTCTGCGTCCCCTGGGAGCACTAGATCCGAAAAGAATGTCCAACCCGTCACCAAAAAAAAATTTTCAGTAAATTTCAATCATTTAGCGATTGGAAAATCCCTTCGGATCTCCTACTCCTCGGGGACTATGAGCCAGGAGTAGGTGGTGATTCCACTAAAAACCACCCCGACGGTCGGCCTCAGGTGTCTTACTCTGGGGAGGACCCGGATCATGTTATTTCAGGTCCAACCCGAATTGACACCATGCCTAATCAGGCCCTATCCCAGGGGAGAACACTTCCCCCCTCAATCGCAGCATGGCGGCCCGATCGCATCTTAATGCAATCAGGCCGGCCATTCCATGCCCTACCGCAGCAATCAATTTGCCACCAGAGGTCCCCTCTCTGGCGGCCTGCGGCGCCCTCGACGGCTGTTATCGGCGCCGACGTCCTCTACGTTCGGGATCGGCCCTCTCCCGATCCCGTTCAGCGGTCTCTTTCTGGAGCATTACAGCTAAACAGAAAGAGACCACTGCGTCCCATCCCTCCTCACCCGCCAGCATGGCAGCAACAATTGCTGGCGGGGACAGGTCTCGTCCAATTTGGCCGACCAGGACTTCGCGTTCAGACACCCACGCGGGGCAGTCTTCCAGCGTGTGCTGGGCGGAGTCCCAGTCGGCTACGCAGTGCTGACATTGTACCGTATCCTCGCGTCCGATACGATTCAGGTACTCACCGAAGCAACCATGACCAGTGAGTACCTGCGTCAATCGGTAGGTGACGCGGCCTCCCGCTCTACCTACCCAAGCTTCGAGGCTAGGCAAAACGGCACCGACAGCGCGTTGGTGCGCATTCCGCGGTTGTTCCAGCCGCGCGCGCCACTGCACCAGAAATTGGTAGGCCTAGTGATTATCTGTGTCTGGGTGTTTTTTTATATTTAAATTTAACCCTGTCTGGGTTAAATTAAATAAAACAGAATAAACGATCGTGCTTATATCATAATTTTTTGTCGGCCTCTATCTTAGCAGTCAGGGTTACTAACCACTTACCAATAGGCCAGTTGAGAAAGAAGGAACTTCTGTTAGGGACTCAGGATTCGTATTAAGTTATGTATTCTCAAAGGCGTTGACAAACCAACCCACTTCACATATTATTAATATTAGCGGCCTCACGCAACTTCATTTGTATTTCTCAAAAGGAATAGCATTTCCTGTTCTTCCAAGATTTTTTCATAGATGCTCTACTCCTCTTATATAGCCCATCACCTTTCTCAATAAGTGGGCTATCCAACACTAATAGATTTTTATCAAACAAATAACCTCTTTAGGTTTTTAATATTAGTTATATTTCTGATTTATATCTGTTGTTTATTACACAGGACCATTTGAACCAGACGTCCTACCTGATGGTAGCAAGGAATCAAATCCCGAAGATGAGCCTTATGGTCCTTGGAGTCGTGGTCCAAGTCCATCGCGTTATGGTCCAAAGGGTCTCTATAGATACCCTCTATTGGGACCTCGTGGATGGGTACCCCGTGGATGGCAACCATATTGGAGACCGTGGGGAACAATGCCAAGGAGCCAATATCCAAGATACCCAGATACTAACGTAGAAGCCAGTACAAAGTCAACAGAAGATAAAAGTGAACTTAATTCATGGGGACCAGATCAGTGGAAATCATTGTACACAGGTGAAGGGGAAGATCGTCTTCAGGATTTTTCAGCAATAGATGATGAACCATTGGGTTCATACCGCCCCGAAATCATACCTTACTGTGATGACACAGATGTCGTTGAAACACTGGAGGATGAAACACCACAATTAGATAATTACAATGCGGTCAACAAAGATGATCCATCAGAGATTAACGCATCTGAGAAAATTAACGAACCATCAATATATGAAGACTCTCAGAAAGATGAAAGTAAACTTGATTCACGGGAACCAGATCAGTGGAAATCATTGTACACAGGTGAAGTTTGGCCAGCAATAGATGATGAACCATTGGGTTCATACCGCCCCGAAATCATACCTTACTGTGATGACACAGATGTCGTTGAAACACTGGAGGATAAAACTCCCACGCCCAATACAGTCCTTAAAGTCCCCGATACTGAAATAAAAGACAACCCTGTGATCGATAAAACTTCACATACACCCACACCAGAATCAGATGATTACAATGCGGTCAACAAAGATAATCCATCAGAGATTAACGCATCTGAGAAAATTAACGAACCATCAAAATATGAAGACTCTCAGAAAGATGAAAGTAAACTTGATTCACCGGAACCAGATCAGTGGAAATCATTGTACACAGGTGAAGGGGAAGATCGTAATCAGGATGATTCAGCAATAGATGATGAACCATTGGATACAGCTCCAACAGACGGACGGCCAATAATCAATCCAGTTAATTCAGGAGCAGGTAGTCAAACTGTGACCATCGATGATAGAACAGCCATAGATAGATTAACCTGGATTACAAACACCAATGTAAACACCGGTATTGTTCAAGGTTCACAAGATAACATGAAAATATGTTGTTGCTATGATAGTTATGCCCAAATGCCACTTTGTCTGAAACAACGGCTTGGATGAGAATAAATTAATGAACAACGAGAGATAATGAAATAAATATATCAAGCCTAAAATATAATGTATACGAGTACATAGTATTTAAAATATCAAGCATTTAAAAATACCTGGTCGATCTATTGAAGAAATATTTCACAAACAGGCCACTAAAAAATTTTGAAAACCTTTTGCCTCGACTAATCAAGAAAATACCTTGTTTTAATTATTCAAATGCCTAATAAGAGACTATAATTACATGAAAAAAGTAACCAGTTCGCTGATGCCTTTAAGCAAAAGTATTGTTTTAGGAGTATGTCCTAATAATACAGTAATTGAGAATGAAATACTGTAATGTCCAATTAGATCTGTACTTGAATTTATTTCAATTGAAATGGCCATTAAAAAGAGGAAAAGAAAATATTTTTATTCATTATAACATAGCAATAGTTGTTAGATAATCTGAACACCATTTTGTAGACTTTACTGAAGATACCTTAAGACGACCAGGACAAAAAAATACCAAATGTAATTTTTTTATAAACGAAATATATGGCACTATCTATTTCATAAGATTTTTATTTCATAAACGGTGTACAAATAAAAAGTTTTCTATATATCTATTTTGAGAAATATAATCTTTCTTTTCGCATTCCTGCAGTCCATAATGATAATAATAACCTTACACATTTCACACACGGCCGCTTACTAACCCCACTGCTGATCATCACAGGATGTAAGTCAATAACGAATACTGAAATTATGTATTCTATTAAAATAGTCTACGCACACTAACATAAGTTGACGGCCAAGGTGGTTCCCAGCGCACTACGAGTCTTAGATTAATTACATTGCAGTTTTAACCGTATGTGGTATTTATGAAATTGTTTGAATTGTAATATCATTTTTCATAAGCTAAAAATGCAAAAGTATTAAAAAAACCGCGGCCTTACTCTTGAATTCGATTCCGATTTCAATCCAATAGTAATCCAATTCCAATTTCAATTTCAATGTCACTATAATCGGTACTCTTGAAAACAATATTGTCAAATTGGATTGAAATTGGTATCGGCCGGCGATTGCGTTGCCATGACGACGGTGACACTTGAAGTTAGCTACGTAACCGCCGCATTAGAGTTGTTCAACACATTACGATAAAACAGGAGTAAAGCTTTGAAATGGTCAATCGTTTCAAAAACAAGACTAATAAATAAATACTACAAAAACGATTGATCAGCTGATTACTTGCAACATTATTAATTAATTTTTCTGCAAGCAAATTATTTTAATCTTAAAATAATCTACACTATTGGCTGTATGTGATTATACCTTTGCCTACTATGAAAGCAAAGATTACTGAAGCATTTCTGTCAGTTAGCGATTCCCTTAAAGAAATAGCTAGGAAGATGCCAGACCCTTGATTTTGTTTTTATATTATTATTGTATCCTAATATTATTAGATATTATTTTACTAATGACGTAAATATACCTATATAGGAATATTATTATCCTTATTTAACTGTGTATTCATTGCGAATAAGTGTAATTGGAAATGCAGAGTGCATGTCTAAGCCCAATTTACCTAATAGCTATTTACTTTTACTTCATGAATATTTTTTATTTCCAAGCAATAAACAAAGTGGCTAACTCAAATACCGAGAATCTCTTAACACTTAAAAACACAACTTTAATAGTTAAACCTCGGTTTTACGAAGCAACTGATACTTTTTTTGAGTTTTACTCATTCCTATGGAATTTGCTCAAGTTGGCTCATTGCAACAAATAACAATAACCTCTAAAAATATAATTTATGAAAGATTGATATAGGTAGCAGTGTTGTGAAAATTTGTTATAATACTTTTTAAAATTGAAATGTCACTGTATACTTAAAATAAAATATACCATTATAGGCCAAAACATTTATATTGACATATATTAAATTAATACATAAAATCTTATTAGAAATAGCAGAATAAATGCAGTATTTGCCTTAAAAACTAAAATCTTAACACAAGTTGTTAGAATTTAAAAATGTTAATTATTACATAGTTTTACAAAATAAGAATGCATAATAGTTGACTTTATTCATAATAATACTAACCTAGTAAAAAATCATCTCCATTATTACTATTTAAATCAATTAAATGTTGTTTCACAGAACTTTGATTCCAAACAAAACTATCATGAGATGCTCCTCCAATGGATGCATCAACTGACAGTATTTTTAAACCTGCATCACATATCTGTAAATATAAATAAAAAGATAGAACTAAATTATACTCTAAATTGTTATTTAGTTCATAAAAATTTCATCAAAATAAGTATTTACAATCATAACATTTCTAGAGTGGAATGTTTGCAATAAAAAACCTTCCTCATGTTCCCCAATTGTTGGTTTAATTATGGCCACATGAGTGCCATCAATACATCCTAATACTGATGGGATCCAGTATTTTTCATAAAACCTGAAACAAAGTATTGTTTAATATTATTATAGTAAAGCTATTACATACAAATTCAAAATACTTTTATTATAGTTATAAGCAATGTATGTATTATTACAATAGACACTTAGGGAGTACTACACTACATATACATGCTTAAAGCTAAGGTGTTTCAACTAAAATTACTTCCATATACTATATTTTAGGCTACTTTTAGCAATATTATACAGTATTCTAGATAAGTAGAACTTTTAAAGTACCTTGTTTTAATAGCATCTCTTTCTTGGTGGGTTTGAGGAAACCTAATCCATTGTTTTTGAACATAATGGTGATTGAGAGCTGCTGTAACCTCTTTGATAGCACGAGATACAGATTGCTGCGACATCAGAGTGCCATATGTGCCTTCAACCAGCCTTTGGTAACTTCAATCTACAATTTGGATGAAAATATTAAGTTAATCTTTTCACAAAAAAATAAGAATGTACACCTTACAAGTTGTAATGTTAACATACCTTATATTTCGGTGATATATCACTTCTTCTCTTAGGAGTTGGCATAAAAGGCTATATTTTCAGAAATTTCCTCAAATAAACATTTGCTCACTCGGTCATTGGCTTTAAATTCTTCCTCACTTATAGAGAACGCCTTCTCCGTATATCGCATCATTCGACGCTCATTTCGTCTCAGTTTTAACACATTTTTTTTTTAATTTTACGTAAAATATTGTACATTACTACTAAACGAGCCATATTATCCACTTATAGTTCAGTTAAAACCACATGAAACGTGAAACAATTTCAAAAAAGTTACACTTCGGCTATTGAGTAAATCCCAATCTCCAAACGATACGAACTCAATTTATCGCTGTCAAACAAGCTGTCAAAAAATTCAAGAGTACCGTTTGCGTGTGGCGATTGGTAATTTCGATTTCAGTTAGTGCTCCAAATCGTCACCCAATTTGATTTCAATATGGCGCTAGTGTCGAATTCAAGAGTACGAAACTACACAATTCCAATGTCGATCGATCGGAATCGAATTCAAGAGTAAGGCCCCGGGTACGAGTCGACTTTTGCGCCGAGGGTTCCGTACCTACCCAGATTTTACGTAGATTTTCGCGAAAATTTGTAAGTGCCTAATTTATAATTTATCTTAATTTTCATTTTTATTTTATTTTTTGGAATCGGAATTTGCTCATATCTTTTTATCGTGTTGACTCAGGACCTTGAGTTCTATACACCTAATAGGGACCATAGATCTCAGTATCTGGTATAAATTTCAACTTGCTAGGTCTACCCGTTCCTGAGAAAATCGGTGGTGACACACGGACAGAGGAACAGACGGACAAGAAAGTGATCTTATGAGGGTTCCTTTTTTACCTTTTGAGGTACGGAACCCTAAAAATGATAATAATCAATGATTTTCGACTGAGAATGATGGTCTGAATACACTATTTCAATATTCGTTACGACGTCTCTTACACCCTGTATACGTATATGTTACTAAATACATACATACTATACGTAAATTACATCCAGAGTACACAATTATTTACCACATTGACTGGTCAGTATGCATGATACCACATTGCTGGTAACACAAAGATAAATATTTAAAAAGCAATGAAGTAACCTCCTTTCTAAGGAGAGGCCTATGTCCAGCAGTGGAATATTAAAGGCTGTTGATGTGATGTGATGAAGTAACTATTCCATCTTTACTTTTTGTCAATTCGTAGGATTAAAAACATTCTCCATACATGATTAATAAAGTTTTAACCAAAGGTTATTTTTGTAGTTATCTATGAAAGACAAATCTACACAAATTAAATTTAAGTAAATTGTGGAGGAACGGGTGTCATGTCTGGTCAGGTCGATATATGACGAGTCAGCTGTCTATGCTCTGTTGTGGAGCGTGCCAGTGCCAGTAGTGAGTAGTTCCAGTAAGTCAGAACTGAGTGCCGCTAGTTCCAGTGGGTCGGAACTGAGTGCCGCTAGCCCCAGTGAGTCGGGGCTGAAGTCCGCTGATCCCAGTTAGTCGGGATGGCGTGCGGTGCGCGGTGCTGCGGTGAAGTCCCCAGTGAGTCGGGGCGGTTGCTGCGTAGTGGCTGGCTGCTGCGTAGATGGGAGAGAAAATGCTCTTCTTACGTGGACCGTAGGTGCAGTGTGATGTGCCTAGACGCTGATGAGGCCGTAGAGGTAACCAGGCAGGAGCGGTCGCTATCTGCGTGTGGTATCCCTGTAGAGGCCGAGGTTGCTGGCTGGCTGAGACTTGATTACTGCTCATCGCTGTGGAAGTGTACACGATGGTGCTGCTGATGATCTGCTCCTTTTGAAGGCTGCTTCCAATCACGTCCAATCAATCGTGTCATGTCCCTCCAACACAATGGGAGGATCCTCCGACCAGGCGAGGTGATCATGCCTGGCGGGCCGCGGCCCAACGGTTGATGTTGGGAAGTTGTATATATGCTAATCGGCGAGGGAATTCTTCATATCGCGATACAGGATTAGCAATTCTTATTTAGTAGTTACCCCGTAGTTCGGTGTGTCTTCATTAGATGGCGCTGCAGTATGTTTCTGTTTCTTTGTA